GAGAGACCTGGTCTGAATAGAGACATTGGATTCTTATCTCATTATACATGATAAAGCTATTTTTAGGCATCTCACCCCTTGCTTTTTTCCTGTAGAAGAAGAAGAGTTTGGATTTGATATCCCGCCTTTTACTCCCTTTTTTAAGGAGTCTCAAAGCGGCTAACATTCTCCTTTCCCTTCCTCCCCCACAACAAACACTCTGTGAGGCGAGTGGGGCTGAGAGACTTCACAGAAGTGTGACAGGCCCAAGGTCACCCAGCAGTTGCATGTGGAGGAGCGGGGAAGCAAACCTGGTTCCCCAGATTACGAGACTACCGCTCTTAACCACTACACCACACTGGCTCTCACTGTTAGACCAATTGCAGTCATTAACAGTCATCAACAGGTTTACCACACCTACCAGCCAATCACCCCTTCCCACCACCCTTCTGAGTAATACCCCTCCCCACCCTCTCACTATATATAAGGTGACTTCTGTTCCAGTGTATCTGAAGAAGTGTCCATGCACACAAAAGCTCATACCAAGAACAAACTTAGTTGGTCTCTAAGGTGCTACTGGAAGGAATTTTTTTAAACCTTGAGGCTGATCGCCGAAGAATTGATGCTTTTGAATTATGGTGCTGGAGAAGACTCTTGAGAGTCCCATGGACTGCAAGAAGATCAAACGCATCCATTCTTAAGGAAATCAGCCCTGAGTGCTCACTGGAAGGACAGATCGTGAAGCTGAGGCTCCAGTACTTTGGCCACCTCATGAGAAGAGAAGACTCCCTGGAGAAGACACTGATGCTGGGAAAGATGGAGGGCACAAGGAGAAGGGGACGACAGAGGACGAGATGGTTTTATAGTGTTTTCGAGGTTACAAGCATGAGTTTGACCAAACTGCGGGAGGTAGTGGAGGACAGAGGTGCCTGGCGTGCTCTGGTCCGTGGGGTCATGAAGAGTCGGACACGACTAAACGACTAAACAGCAACAACGAAAGAAGAAAAGTCACTTAATCCAGGGACAGTCTACATATATTGGCCTATTCCTACCCCTTTTTCTTTTCCCCATATGAACTGACCCGGACCCTGCGCTCATCACGTGAGACCTTTCTTTGTGTGTCTAGAGGGTGGCAACATGAGAACAGGCCTTTTCTGTGGTGGCTCCCCATTTGTAGAATGCTCTCCCCGGGGCGGCTCACCTTGCGCCTTCATTAGATATCTTTAGGTGCCAGGCAAACAGTTTCCTCTATAACCAAGCCTTTGGTCTTTAACTATAAGTGGCCTTTTAGAAGTGGGTGGGATGTTTTTAACGTATTTCTCTTTCCTCTTGGTTTTAGTCTACCTCTGTGGGGTGTGTTGTCTATTTGTTTGGTTGTAATTCGCTTTTGGTTGCCTTGAGCAAGCTAAAGTGAATCAAAAATTGAATAAATAAACAAATAAGAAGAGCGCTGCTGGATCAGGCCAGCAACCCTTCTAGTCCAGCATCCCATTCTCACACTGGCCAACCCGATGTCTATGGAAAGCCTGCAAGCACAACATCACTTTCCCCAGTAACTGGTATTCGGAGGCATACTGCCTCCAACAGTGGAGGTACAACAGGGAACTATATCTATTTCAGCAATGCTTTGCCAAGGTCCCCCATATTCATTTTTGCAAGCTGGTAAAATGCGGGCTAGATGGTACTGTGTTAGGTGGATCTGTGGCTAGTTGATGGACTGTAGAGTTGCCATACGTCCGGGAAAACCTGGACATGTCCTCTTTTGGAGGGCCAACATGCCCATCTGGGTGGATTTTTACATTTTAAAGAACATGTCCGGCTTTGGGTTTTTTTTAAATTTTGGGGAGTTGGGGTTTGGGGGGGTGCTGTGCCCTGGAAGCAGAAGTGCTGCAGCAGAGCAAGGCCATTACAGCAAAGATCAGGTAGGAGCAGTGGGCCTCTTTTTTGCTGTTCAAGATATGGCAATCTTAATGGACTGTCCCAAAAGACCACTAATCAACATCTCACCCCCCTGAAAAGAAGTGACATGGTGGAGTGATGCATGGTTCTGTCCCAGGCTCGGTAACATTTAACATCTTTATAAATAATTTGGATGAAGGAGATGCTCATCAAATTTGCAGGTGACAACAAACTGGGCTGGATAGCTAATATCTTAGAAGGTGGAAACCAAATCTAAGATGATCTTGACAGAATGGAGAAGTGGGCAAAAGATAGCAAAATTTATTTCAACGGCACTGAAGCTTGGTCAGGCAGGAAGATACACCACAAATAGGGAACCTGCAGCCCTCTAGGTGTTGCTAGACTCCCATCATCCCAGGCTTGGCCATGCTGGATGGGATGGGAGGAATGCTAGATGTGAGTCCCAACATCTGCAGGGCTAATATATAATATATACCTAATATACACTCAATCTGTAGGGAAGACACCTGGCTTGACATGTGAAAAGGACGTAGGGGTTTAATGAGACCAAAAGCTAAACATGAATCAGCAGTGCAACGTGTGACAAACAATACCAATGAAATTCTAAATTGCATTGAAGTCTATGAGGAAAGGCCTACGGCGTTTGTCATGATTGCCTAGAGAAGAGACGATTAAGAGGTGCTACAATTGCTATCCTCAAAGATTTAAAGAGCTGCTGTGCAGATGATGGACCAAAATTATTTTCTGTTGTTCCAGAAGGCAGGATCCAATCCAAATGGTTTAAATTACGAGAGAAACAATTTCCTGGTGACGTGAAATGTTAGACTCCCTTAGAAAGTTGATTGTTAGAACCAAGCAGAGGCTGGATGGCCAGCTATCATGGATACTGTAGATTCCCTGCAACCACAGGGGATTGGACTAAATTTGAGGTGCTCTTGCAACTCTATGATACAATCCTGTCACATGTTCTAGATCACTAGTCACTATAAAGGAAAGAGTGGATGACATGGGGCTACTGTTTTAGGAGCAAACACATTAGGCACTATGTCTACTTTCAGCCAATGTCATACACAAAATCCATGCATTTCCCCCCCCCTAAACACAGTACTAATTAAATAACAGCAGACCAGACTGATCCAGTGGAGAGTGGTTGGCCTGGACATCAATTTGCATCACAAATCTTCAATGAATTGACAAGGCGACTTTGGACAAGTCGCTACTGGCCTCAGGTCTTTTATTTATAAAATGGAAATTGCTTCAAAAATAATGTGTGGGGCATGAAGCCCTTAATAAAAAAGGGGTACAGAAATCAATAATCTCATTCCCAACGTAATCGCATTCAGACTCATAGGCTGAGAAACCAATTAAAACACAGAACCCAACCCAAAATGAACCACAAAACATCACTCACTCTGGAGCACCCAATGCATTTTTCAAAGTTAAAATGCTGCAACTTATCGTCCAAAGGAATGCTAGAAGCAAGCAAAGCCAGCAGCAACTGGAGTCTTAAGGCTACGATCCTAATCACACGTCTAAGGAGCATTATTAGTAAGCAGAGGAGGATTTACTTTAAAGTGAACCTGCACAGGATTGCAATGTTAAGAAAAATGAGCAGGTAAGTCAATGGCCACAAACCAGAAATGGAAACTTGCAACATGCAAAGGTTTCAGATCCTCATATAAATGGAATAGAAACCATGCATCAGAAATCTTAAGAAAATTGGCTGGCCTTAAAAGAAGGAACAGCCCAGAATTTACATTAGGATGACAAGTTGGGAGCAGGTGACCAGGCAGAGAAAAGTGTGTTTGGTTGGGCCATTCCTGGCTTTAATGAGTAACCATTACTCATTAATGGCCTTTTAACTTATTATAGTAACCTGTAATAAATGTAATGCTTACTTCTGGTATTATTTTTCCAGCTTTTGTTTTAGAACACAAGCTAGGGTCTACAACTACACCGAGTTGTTAATTTTGTCAGCCTCTTCAAGAACTTTGAAGGCTAAAAGTTGTTTTTCGATATATAAAATAAGTATTTACAAAGAAACATAGCCTCTTAGCTCCCTTCGACTTTGCCAGATATGCTCCTTAGCTGGGAAGAGGACGCGCAAATAACCCTAAACAAATGTTTCCAATCATCTTGAGACAGAGATCTTAATTAAGCATCTCACGGTAGTGACCGAGAGCTGCAAAAAAGTTTGTAACTGTTGGTTTGTGAGTGCACACTGAGCGTCCTCTTTCTGTAGCTGTTACAGGACTAGTTTTCCCTCATTTAAAAAAAACCACAAACACCACCTGCAGAAGAGCGCAACAAAGTCTCCAGGAACTGGGACATAAACCTGCGCTCCTAACTGATCCCAAACGAGCATCCGGCTACCTGTTGAGATGCTTATCGTGAATGTACATATTTGGTGCAAATTGTGTGGAGAAAGGACTGATATACCAGGATGACCGAGGCCACTCCAAGGGAAGCCAGCAAAGGGTAGCAGGCATTTAAAGAGCTGTCTCCCTCCGCTTCTGCAGCAAATATTCCCCACCCCACCTTTGCAACAAACGGAACCTCGGGCAACAACGCAGGTTTGAAACGCGGCGCGGTGAGTGAAGATAAACTGGATTTACAGCCTCTCCTAAGGCGAGGACGGGTCCCCTAAGCCCGGCCCTACTCGGTGGCAGCAGAGTTTGGGAGGGGCACGGCGGGATCCATCCCTGCAGCTGTTGCAGGGGCAGGATCGGGGCCGGCAGGCACTGGAGCCACAACATCGGGGGTCTCCCAGCGAGATCGGGGGGGGGGGAGAAGCAGCCCCGGAAGAAAAGGCGGGCGGGGCTCGGTGGGGTGGGATAAGGCCCTGGGGGGTGCAAGGGAGAGGCTGCTGCAGCGAAGGATACCAGCAAAGCCAGTGGCGGAGGGCCGGTCCTGCGACTCCCCCTCTGGGGAAGGAGGGAGCAAAGGGCGGGGCATCCCATGGCTGGACGGAGAAGGGCGACGCGGGGGGGGGACGGGGGAGAGAGCGGGCTGGGAGCCACCCGGGCCCCGAGTTCGAATCCCGACTGCAGCGCTCCCATCAGGGGGCCGCGCTGCCCGGCGGCGCCGGCCCCGCAACCTACCGGCCGCCGCGGGACCCAGCAAAAGCCGCTGCGCCGTTCCAGCCCCTGCAACATGGCCGCCCGCGGAGCGCCGGAAATACGAGGCCACTTCCGCTTCCGGCCCCCGCCGAGGACGGCCCCGCCCACCCTCCACATTTATCACCTGGGCAACGCCCCCCCTCCGCCGCTGGCGGCCACGCCCACGGTCGAGCCCTTTTTTCCCGGCCACGCCCACGCGGTGCGTCCGTAGCTCCGCCCACTCCCGAGGCCACGCCCACCCAAAGACCCCCGCCTACCCTGCTGAAGCCGGGTCCACAGATAATCACTCCTTCCCCCTCCATCCATCTGTTACTGGCTAACCATTTGGCTTCCATCTCATTGAGGCACCACAGTGGCCTCTTCCTTCCAGTTAATTTCAAAATGTTCATAGTCTTCTCCACCATCCCCCTCCTATGTCCAAGCACTTTTGGAGCCCCCTTCTCCAAATCCGCAATATTCCTGGCATGCTTTTTCCATGAACTCCAATAAATTATTTCTCTCAGCAGCACTCCATCTGCTTTCTTTGCCCTTCTCTCAGATTCCCCATGTCCTCCAACTAATAATAATAATAATAATTTATAATTTTTACCCCACCCATCTGGCCAACCAAGGCCAACAGGTCTTCCCACAATAACACTCTCCCCTAAATTCCTCTAAAGATTCGTTTCCTGAAAGCTCGAGTTTTGTGGTGATTGCTTTGAAATGTAAGGCAGGCCCCTGATTTTGACTTCTCAATCAGTCCACCACCAGCCACCTTTCACGTTCAAACGAGATGTCCTGTTTAGGGTGTTATCACAGCACTTCGGTAACCAAAAATCAAAGCCCCTGAACTGAGTTAAGACTTTTAACAGACAGTGTTTCCTGATGGGGATCTTATATCACAAAGCGGGTCATTCAGATCTGATCTTTCCATGTTAAGTGCTTGGTCAATCAGTTTCCACACATTTTTTGTTTTTTTCAGTCATGGATATTTATTGCTTTTTAGTCATCCGCCATCCATACAATGGGCAAAGCTTGACGGAGTGTATACGAGTTGTGTTTTTCAGTTTCGCCAATCACTCCTTCCCTGTCTCTGCTACCATTTCCCATTCTGGGCATATGTACAGGTATTTCTGTATCTCTGTATACACAAACCTTTGTTTTTCTAAAAAAATCAAATTGCAGCAAACATTACCAGCCTTATCCAGCCAGTTGCTCTTTCACAAGAGGCAAAATGGAAGCTTGTGCTTTTTTGTGGGGGACGCAATAGCTATTCCAATATGTGTGGTTTTTGGTTGTTGTTTTTTAATGTGATACTGAAGTCTTGTGCAAGAGTGCAAATGTGATAAAGTGTATTTAAAACACACATTTTTATTTATTTAAAAAAAATCAATTTTAGGCACTGATGCAATTGTGGTTGCCCAGGTAGTCCTCCAGTTTCACTGTGCAGATATCTTAAATAATATCTCCTGTGAACTGGGCATGTGTCAATCAGTGGAAGTGGGTTTCTTTCCTTTGCTGCTGGGGGCCAGTGAAAACAAAGGTTGTTCTCAGGTGATGAGCAAACAGAAGTTGGGTGTGGCGAGATAATTTGAAACGTTGCCTCACATTACAAACCGCCCACTCTCCAAAAATGTACTATTTTTACTTGTTGGACTTTTTGCAGCAAGGAGAACTTTTATTAATTTCTTTATTTTTAAAGCACAGGTTGGTATTTTTATGACACATAACATTGTGTGAATTCTGCAAAAGGTTTGTGGACATGAGCAACACAAATTTCGCAATAAACTTCCCTCTGGAAGCATTCAAACTGTTCAGATAACTTGAAGGGGGTAAACACCACCCAAGTCACAATATCACACTTATGATGAATGGTGGGTTGTTTCCTATAATAAAAGATAACAAAACGATAGTTTACAGAAATGGAAAAGTTACAAATTACTGGTAATAGGAAAACTGATTTATGATCACTCAAATGAGGAAATGGATTTAATTATAACCCAGGACGGGAGGATATGTACTTTGAACATAACAAGAATGAGTAATGATCTGTTAAGAATAAACATATAGGGAGCAAGATGTGTTCTTATAGAGGACAAGGCAGACTGTCATTTCAGAGTGTTAATTAAAGCTTTGGCTGACTAGAATGACTCAGGAATAACTTTACTAATTCCACTGGACAGACAGGGGACCCAGGGAATCAATTCACTGAGCGACTTCCCAACCAATCTCCATTCTTCCCCTCATAATTATTGGCCAATATGTCAAATCTTCTGCTCAAGGTATATTATAAGATTACAAGCTTTGTGTTATTATTAAACCCATGGTTGAGTCCATATGCGGTTGTAGGTTGAACTGCACGACCTTAATGTGCATGGGTGTCAGTGAGTGGACACATATGGTAAAAGGTAAAGGACCTCTGTCCAGTAGAAGGTGATTATGGGATGCGGCGCTCATCTCCGCTTTCAAGCCAAGGGAGCTGGCGTTTGTCCACAGACAGCTTTCCGGGTCATGTGGCCAGCATGACTAAACCGCTTCTGGCACAACGGGACACCGTGACGGAAACCAGAGCACACGGAAACTCTGTTTACCTTTCCACCACAGCGGTACCTATTTATCTACTTGCACTGGCATGCTTTCAAACTGCTGGGTTGGCAGGAGCTGGGACGGAGCAACAGGCGCTCGCACTGTCGCAAGGATTCGAACCACCGACCTTCTGATCAGCAAGCACAAGTGGTTTAGATCACAGCGCCACCTGCATCCCTGGACACATATGAACAATAAGGCACTGTGCAGCCTGCCAATGTACACACTGAAATGGCTCATATATTTGGGGCAGTTGATAATGTTGTTGAGCTATTCAGATGTTCTTTAATCAAAATAATACCATTAATCCAAGGAACAAACACTCTCACGTGGCGCTAAATCAGAGAAGAGCCTGCAGTAATTTGTAATTGATGAAGTGCTGCGGGGAGCTTGTCTTGGGGCAGGTGGTCCGCCTTGGGACTGAGAAAAGAGGCATTAACTATGTCCTTATTTCCAGCTGTGAAATGTTGCAGGGTGTGTGACACTGAAGCCTCCACCTAAATTAATTTTGAGCTGCCAGGGAATGCTAAGTTCTTCTTAGAACATGACTCATCTCTCCCTGTCTTCTCCAGTTAGGCTGACTGTTAATAGGAAAGCCAGGATAATTGTGAAGCATGAATATTTCAAGACCCTCAAAATGGCAGTCTGCTTGCCTGAGGCAACTCCTAACTGCCAAGATCTTTCCAGCGTGTCAACTGGCATTGTTTGCTCCTCCCTCCCACCAGAAAAACAGCAGCAGGAACAAAACTGTGGGATATGAACAGCTAAGGTCAAATGTGGAAAGACGCACCTGTCTAAAAGTGATGCTTGGACCCCCGTTCGGAGCTTGAAGTATGGGTACCCCCAACAAAATTTAAAAATCTGGCTGTATAATTTGGAACTAATGTGATTTGGAAATAATGTGATTTGATTGGCCTGTTAATAAAAATTATATTAAAAAAAAAGAACTTCCCACATTTATTTATTCATCGTACGTTTATCGCTCCCTACACTGTAGCCTTATGAGGGTTTGCCCTTGGGTGGGAAAAATATTGCGCCTGGGAAAGGGAAAATGGGAGTCAACAGACATTCAAGGAATAGTTTCGGAGAAAAAGCTTTTATTTCTACCATCCATGAACTGGTAGAACACAGCCATATTCCCATGGGTGGCAGTTTACAAAAGGGGTGGTTTGTCTCCCTATCCAGACTCAAGTTTTTCTCCTTTCCTTTTGCCTCAGTAGGATAAAAAGAGAGCCGTGCTGGATCAGGCCAAAGATCAATCTAGTCCATCATCCTGTTTCAAGAAGAGGTCAGTCAGATGAATCGCAAAAGCCCACAGAAGAGTCCGAGGGCAACAGCTATCCCCTGCTGTTTGCCTTACCCCAGAGGCAACCAACATGGTGTCCTCCAGATTTTGATGGACTCCCATCATCCCTGACCATAGTGGGGGCTGATGGGAACTGGACATCAGGTAGTCTTGTAGGAAAGAGGACATGAACAAGTGTAGACTTAGTTGGCTCTGTCTGTCACTGGATTTGGTTCCCCTCATGGTTGACCTCCATGTCTTCTTCTCCACCTGTCCCAATGGGCACCAGGCAACGCTGGGGCATTAGCATATATCATCCTCTTTCTCTTTTATATTTACACCTTTAGCTCTTGACTTGAGAGAACTTTTAACCCCGCTATCTGAGTCACCTTTGTTTTGTCTTGGGGAAGTTCAGATTATTTCGTTTTAGATAACAGGAGACTTTTGATGATGACAAAGCTTTGGGAGCTGTGGGTTAAAGGCATCTTCTAAAACGAAACTGGCGGAAAGCGCCACTTAGTCAATACAGATTTTACATCCCACTCAGTGTGATTCAGCACCAGGGAATTCACAGCTTGTCTTATTTTATTATTTTTAAATTACCCTAGAAAGGGTTCTAGGTGGAATTTTCAGGCAAGGAAGCCTGTCAAATAATTACTACTTGGTGAGTTGGCCACACAACATTCGAGGAGACAGACTGAAGGATTTGGCTGGAGAACACACATTCAGTTAATCTTCTGGTCCTACATGCATTCTGGGTGAAGGAGGGTTGAGGAATGAGGGGTGAAAATTGTTTAGCACATTATTGTACTCTGATTGTTACCTACTTTTGAAAATTGCTGAAACAAATATTATTTTAAAAAGGATGTGATTCCTGAAAGCCTCCCTAAATTATTAAAAACTACTCAGCTCTCCTGCTCTCCCAAGGGCCAGGCCTACAATTTTTGAGGTTTGTTCGTACACAGATTGTGGTTAGGGAACTTGCTACCAGCCTGACAGGCTTTCCTGGCAATAGCATCTAGTGCAGTGAGTGTTAAACTTCAATCCACCACAATGCCCTGGTGTGCCCTGGAGTCAGGGGCATTCTGGGAAATTGAGCAGCAACCAGACTTGGCCACCCAGCCCCTGGTGGGGTATTAAAACAGCAGTGGGCCCTGCTAGTGGTGGGTCTTTTCCCAGTAGTGATGTATGGAAGTGAGAGCTGGACCATAAAGAAG